TTTCCAAATCGTGTGGCACCATCTTGCCATCATTTCCTCCTCTCTGTTCATCAATTTAGGAGCTGAGGGCTCTTGCCAACAGTGGCGAAGAAAAGAGACTAAATATTCCAGTGGATGGATGGCTGACATTTATCCTGGGGAATGAGGTTGGCAAGGGCACACAGGAAGGCTTTTTGCTTCTCTCTCTCTCTCTGTCTCTATCTCTGATTCTCGTTTCTTCTGGGGATGGCTTTGACCCATCCCACCATCTCTGAGCTGCTTGCTTCCCTGTCTCCTTTTAACTCCCAGGCAAAGTACCTTCTCAGCTCAGACCAGAGGCAACTTACCTTGGAGAGGAAGCCCAAAACCTTCGGGGGGCAGAAGGGACACCAAAGATAAAAGTATCTGGGTCAGGGGTGCCTGGCTGGCCAGAGGACATGTGACTCTTGATCTCAGGGTTGTGAGTTCAAGCCCCACACGGGTGTAGAGATTACTTAAAATTAAATCTTAAAAAAAAGTGGGGCATCTGGGTGACCCAGTCAGGTAAGCGTCTGCCTTCAGCTCAGGTCATGATCCCGGGGTCCTGTGATTGAGCCCCGTGTTGGGCTCCCTGCTCAGCAGGGAGTCTGCTTCTCCCTCTCCCCCGCCTGCCACTGCCCCGGCTTGAGTGTGCACACTCTCAATCTCTGTCAAATAAATAAATAAATAAATAAATAAATAAATAAATAAATAAATAAATAAATAAATCTTTTTTTTAAGAAAGGCATCCAGGGCAGCCTGGGTGGCTCAGCGGTTTAAGCGCCTGTCTTCGGCCCAGGGCATGATCCTGGAGACCCGGGATCGAGTCCCACATCAGGCTCCCTGCATGGAGCCTGCTTCTCCCTCTGCCTGTGTCTCTGTCTCTCTCTGTGTGTCTATCATGAATAAATAAATAAAATCTTAAAAAAAAAAAAGAAAAGAAAAGAAAAGAAAAGGCATCCAGGTCAGTTCCCAGTTTCTCCTTCTTCATTCTATCTACAGCCATTCTCCTTTAGTTGCTGGACATCCTTAGAATTCTCACCCAAAACAATGGAGTCTCCTATCACCTTCCCATCGCCAAGACGAAGCCCACCCACTGGGCATCAGAGACGTTTATTCAGTCCCTTACTACTCATCTGGACTTTGGAACCATTTGAAATACTATTGCTCAGACTTTTTTCCCCTAATACCTTCCATTCCAATGAAAGAAAACTCAATCCCAGAGAGCTTCACATTAGCCTTCTCTTCTAGTTTCTGATGGGCTCCGATTCCACATCCCGCCTATGGACGTTGGGATTGAAGTGGAGTTCTGGAAGCGTTGGCAGTCGAGGGTATGAATGAACCACGCTTGTTATGAAGTAGAGAGAATTCCAAATTAGGAGATCAGTCACAGATATTAGCTGGCCTGGCTCAAGCTCAGTTACTAGCACACAGTTGGGAAGAAGCATCACCAAAGAGATGAGTCAGCTGGCACTGTTCCAAATGGCTGGACCTCGTGTACCTGTGCTCTCATGGCTGAATTAAGAGGCACATTGGAGCTGGACATTGACTTTAGGAGAGAAACGCAGGCTGTACTGTGAGTGTTTGAGGACCATTTGGCTCGGTTTTTAAATTTAGTTCATTTCATACCATTGCTCTGAATTATTCTATCCCCACATCATGTCTTTGTCTGCTGAACTCACGGTACTCAACATGTGCCCTGGCCATTTCTCACAGGAACTGGAGGCCTGCCCTTTACTCATACCAGCTCCCGCGACAAGAGCTAGACTTGAAACCCAAGGGTCTAATTTCCTTTCCAGGATTTACTGGGCTTCACAAAGAAGTATATCAGAGGAAGGCCACTCGGGCGCTAGAGAATCTTCCCACCTGGTATTCCATCAACACCTGAAGTTTAACTTCTTCCTCTAGAAAAATAAAAATCAACAGATCAGAAAAAGGTGACTAAATCAACCAGGCTTTTTAAGCAGGCTCTTATAATGTTTTTTTTTTTTAAGTCAGGATATTGATGTATAATTTTGCATGAATTTTGTGATTTTGAGGTGGGAGAAGTAGACTGTCTTTTTAATTATGGCAAAGTACACAAAAGAAAATTTACCATCCTGGGCACCCAGGTGACTCAGTCAGTTAGGCAGTTGACTCTTCATTTCAGCTCGGGTCAGGATCTCAGGGTCGTGGGACTGAGGCCCGGGTTGGGCTCTGTGCTCAGCCGTCAGGCTCTTGAGATTCTCTCTCTCTCTCTCTGCCCCCCCACTCCCACTCCACGGTGCACACGTGTGTGTGCAAGCATACCACACATGCACTCTCTCTTTCTCTAAAAAAAAGGTTGGGGGGGGCACGCCTGGATGGCTCAGTGGGTTTGAATATCCAACTCTTGGTTTTGGCTCCAGTCATGACCTCATGGGTTGTGGGATAAGCCCTGTGTCAGGCTCCGTGTGCAGCGGGGAGACTGCTTGAGATTCTCTCCCTCTGCCCCTCCTCCCTCACTCTTGCACTCTCTCTCAAATAAATAGATCCGGGACACCTGGGTGGCTCAGTGGTTGAGCATCTGCCTTCGGCTCAGGGAGTGATCCCAGGGTCCTGGGATCGAGTCCCACATCGGGCTCCCTGCATGGAGCCTGCTTCTCCCTCTGCCTGTGTCTCTGCCTCTCTCTGTGTGTCTCTCGTGAATAAATAAATAAAATCTTTTAAAAAAATAAAATAAGTAGATCCTTTAAAAAATAATTTAATTTAGTTTTTAAAGAAAAAAGAAAATTTACCATCCTAATCATTTTTAATGTACAGAGCAGCAGTGTTAAGTACATTCACGCTGTTGTGCAACCCATCTCCCAAACTCTTTTCATCTTACAAAACTGCAACTTTGCACCATCCTTCTCTCCCCAGCTTTTGCAACCACCTTTCTGCTTCCTGCCTCTGAATTTGGCCACTCTAGGCACCTCATATAAGTGGAATCTTATAGTATTTATCTTTTTCTGATTGGCTTATTTCACTTAGCATAACATTCATCCATGTGTAAGAATCTCCTTCCTTTTTTTTCTAGATTTTATTTATTCATGAGAGACACAGAGAGAGGCAGAGACATAGGCCAAAGGACAAGCAGGCTCCCTGCTGCAGGGAGCCCGATGTGGGACTCGATCCTGGGACTCCAGGTTCACACCCTGGGCTGAAGGCTGATGCTCAACCACTGAGCCACCCAGGCATTTCGAATCTCCTTCCTTTTTAAGGCTGAGTAATATTCCATTGTATGGCTATACCGCTTTTTGTTTATCCAGTCATCCACTCCTGGACACTTGGGTTGCTTTCACCTTTTGGTTATTTGAATCATGCCGCTATGAACACGGGTATGCGAATCGCTCCTCAAAATCCCGATTTGTACAGTTTGTGTCTCTTAACATTGAGTGAAGGAAGCCTCGAAGAATTCCATATCTCGTGGTTTTACATTTTTTTACCATCCGGAAAAAATCAGGAACGCAGCACTAATTTTACCAGGTAATACCTTTACAGCCTCTCAGTGTGCTGACTCTTCAAGGGCTTCTTGGGCCTTCTTCAGCCATGTGTGAGTGCTTTGAGAATTGCCATTAAGTAGAAAGTAGCAGGTTAGCTGTATCTCGGTGACTGAGACCTGATCAAAGGCGGAGTTATCAGGGACTTGGTGTATTACTGAAACCCACCCGTTCCCGTTTCCCCTCACATGGGACTCGAGTCCCACACCGTCCCTCCCCAGGCCAAGAAAGCACGTGGTCGTAAGATAAAAGCGGTGAAGTCCAGCTACAATCTGCTTCACCGCTGAGTGCCCTTCTCACTGGCGAACACCTATAAATAACATCTGTGATCCTGTTTCAAAGTCAGCAAAGGGGCAAGGGCTGAGGGGTTGCCGAAATCATTTCATGAACAAGTTGACCAAAAAAAACGATCTGTGACTAAATCTTAGAGGAGGAAGAGCTGGCCAGCCATGTGGACAGACCAGACTCCTCCCCTGCAAAACCAGCCTCTCTCTCGTGCCCTACATTGTCTGCAGGCATGTATAAGCTATATTCTAGATCATTTGGCATTCAACTAGCTAAGTCGGCTCCACTCAGCTCAGAGATGACTGGGGGGCTGCGGTGTTAGCGTTGTGCCCTCCTGCAAGGAGGAAAAGGGAATCTAGTTCAGGAACCAAAGAAAAGCTTATTCCTCTCATCTTTGAAGACCCTGAGACAGAGTCCTCCACAGCCCCCCCAGATGCAGGGTCCTGCGGCCTGGAACGCACAGAAATCAAATGCATATCCATTACGGGAGAAATCGTAGGCAAGTGGAGCTGAGGTGACAGATTTTGAAGAGCAAACATGCACCTTTGGGCTCTGTCTTCTCAAAATTCATCCTCTCACCTGCCAGCCTTGAGAATTGCCTATTTACATAACTAGCTGCCTAAAATGGAATATTAGATAATGTTACATGGTGCCTCCCTCGGCTGGAGCCCAGCCCCGGGATGTGAGAGATCCAGAAGTCCTCCAACAGCATGTAGCATGGCACGCTGGCCTGCAGCCATGCCTCCGCGTGGCGTGAGCCTGTCAGCACTCCCGAGCTAAGCAGATGTCAGGCCCGATCGCCGAGGTGGGAGACCAGCGAGCAGCAGGGGGAGGGGACGTGATTCAGCAAGTGGCACAGTGGCACGCCGTCTTCAGGGGACAAGCAGCACCTCCTCCCGAGCTTCACGGCGGGTGCCTTGTTCTGCCCAAGGTGCTGTCTCAGGGCCCGCCGACACGGAGGGAGCGGGGAGGGGGCCGCAGGCGGCTGCGATGCCAACCCTGGCGCCGCGCCAGCCTCGAGCCCCCCCCCGCCCCCCGTTGGTCCTTTCCGAGGCACACGTCTCCCTCCCATCAAAACGGGAATCCTGCTGCTCCCGAATAAGAGGCGTATCAATAAGTCACAAGGAATGTTCTGATGATGATAAGCGCGTCTAGCTTCTCGGCGGACCACATGTATCAAAGAAGGCAATTGTGTGTATTTGTTCGTTTATTTTTCAGCGTTCCGGTTCCTGTAGTCAGTTTAGAGAAAATTCCTAACCTAGTGAAGGCAGATGGTGCCAATGTCAAAATGAACTCTGCAACCACTACCGCGGTCACCTCCTGCTCCTCCTCATCCTCTGCCGTCTCCACCCCACCTTTAATTAAGCCAGTCTTGATGTCCAAGTCAGTGCCACCTTCCCCAGAGAAGATCTTAAATGGCAAAGGAATTTTGTCCACCACAATAGACAAGAAACACCAAAATGGCACCAAAAACAACAACAAGCCTTACAGGAGACTTTCAGGTACGTGTCTGTGTCCTTCGAGTCTGGCTCACGATCTCCCTGCCTCTGAGCCGCGTCCGTGACCGAGGAGTGCTGCGTTCTTGTAACCAGGCAGGCCCGTTTCGTGGTAAGGGGAGCCTGGGGTTGACCTGCAACCAGGAGCCCCACCTAAAACTGCGAGGGAGAAGGGGTTCTCTTTTTTGCGGGCTGGATGAGGTTCTCCTCGCTCGGCTTGGGGCTCAGCAGGAGGGAGCCTCTCGGCCTGGGACACAGGGGGCTTTACGGCCACCGCCACGGCCTGCGCGTGCTGAGGCCTTCCCATGCTGCCTGGCCAGACGGGCCCCAGGCTCCGTAGACGCCTCGCCACAGCCGGGAGGTTGGACAGCCACAGGGAGCCTCACTGCCCCGCAGGGCAGACTGGGGACAGTACCGGCAGGTGGTCTGCCCCCCTCTGACCTTGGGTTTTGGTTGGTTGCCAGGTTGATTATGTGCTCTGGGGCTGCGACCACCCTTCCCGCATAATCGGGAACACTTGGACTGGCACAGCAGGTGAGGCGTTGAGGGGTTTCTCTTGCATCTCCTTCTTGGGTGTCTGCGTAGACACTCAGGATGCCTGGAACAGGACTCGTGGCCAGTATTTGAGACAGTGGTTGCCCTCGGGGGGCCCCCAGGCAGACGATGTTTGCTTTGGATTTGTCATAGAACTCAATCTGGCAGTTCTACTTTCTCCCAAAGACCAAGAAAAGCTATAAACTTTATAACTTCTTCACACACCGTGGGCATTTATCAAATGTTGAATGGAAAAAAAAGAAAGAAGGAAAATATGGTGAAAGCCACCCAGTGAGAGAGAAACCATGCCCTCCAGTAGGAGGTGTACCTCTTAATCAGCCTAAGAATCATGGGTCAATTTTATTTTTGACTTGGTGTTAATCTATATTTCAGTGTTTCTATCTTGCTTCTGTAACTGTTAAAAAAAAATATTTCTTAAAAGTACTTTGGACCCAAAGCATTCAAAGGGTTTTTACCCTAAAAAATCTCTCTATGTGCTACTCACCCACTATGAAGAAAGAAAGGTAGAGCCCGGTGCTCTCTTTGAGCGCTGCAGGGCCCTCCCGGAGTGGCGGGGCGGGGGCGGGGGGGGGGAGCCCCACTCCCGGCTCTCTTCCTGAATGGAGAGTTCAATTCCACTCTTCAGAGCTGGGTGGCAATGTCCCTGGAAAACCCAGGAGGCCCAGCTGGGCAGTGTCCACGGGCAGAAGCACAACCATGGCTTCCAGCCTGCACCCCAACCTGGAGTCGTAGAGGGGTTTTTTGTGGTGTTTGTTGGTTTTGCATTTTGTCGGTTGTTTTGTCTCATTGGGTCTCTTGCTTGTTTCTATCTCCCTTTCACATTTGGCAGCCAGCTCCTACCCCCCGGCCAAACAACCTGCTCAGTCGCAGGCCAGCGTGAGTGCTGGTGTGGATCTGGGCCCGGGTCTGACTCTGACAGGCCCCAGGGAAAGAACTCTGTGGCAGGCAGCCTGGGGCCCGGCGCCCAGGCCCTCCTCGGTGGGCAGAGAGGGCTCATGGGAAATGGGCACCTCCAGGCCTCAGAGTTTTCTAGTCTTAAAAGTGAAGCCAAAAAATTAAAAAATAAGTTGCAGGGATGAGGGCACCTAGCTGGCTCAGTCCAAAGAGCATGCGACTCTTGATTTCAGGGTTGTGAGTCCAAGCCCCACCACGCTGGGTGTAGAGATTACTAAAACTAAAATCTTTAAGAAAGAAGAAGATAAAGATGATGATGACAAATGACAAAAGCCAAAAAAGGGGTGGGAGGCATTTTGATGGCCAACCAGAAAGGCTGTCTTGGACATGAGAGTGGTTTTCCTCACCCCCATCATCATCACCACCTTTGCAACCACTACAAGCCCCAGATTTTCTCTTAAAATCAGAACACATTCATTTATGAGGCTCAGGGTTTACTTCAGCCATCTCAGACAGATCTTCAGGTAAATTCTTTTAGTTTACAGTCATTCAAATCTTTCATGGAGGCACCCGACCAATTTTATATACAACCCCCACCCACCGACCCTGTGGCCAGCCTCCCTGAGTGCCCAGAAGAGCTGTGTCATCCCTGTGCTGCGGGACTCAGGTGTTTGCTGGGAGCCTTCCAGAAATAGCACAGACTCTCCAAGAGGTAGAACTTTGAAGCCGAAAGCGTCCTTAAGAGGGATCGCCTCACATCCCCTCATTTTCCAGTCGGGGGGAGGCTTTTGGTAATCCAGAAGGCGCAAAAGATCCAAAGTGGGCATAAAAAGAGCAGGCTCCTTGGAAGTAACCTCACTGTGAGCCATCATCAACAGTCCAGGGAGAAGCAGGAGCTAGAGAAAGCCTGGCCTCCCCGCAGCCCCCCTTCGTCCCCACCCGGTTGGCCAGCCTCTGCTCATTCCCATTTGGAGCAGCGGGCCCCCACGCTGGGAGCAGAGCATGCTGGGAGACTAGCAGGCCCTACCCTCTATGCACCCTCCACTTGAGACAGCACACCCCAAACTCTCCCCCCACCCCTGCCTGTGACACCGCCAAAACATTCCTGAATCAGATAAACGATGTTTCTGGTCAGCAAGGCTGCGTGGAAAGCCCAGAGCTGAGGACTTTGCAAAGCACAAGAGAGGCAGGTCATACTGACATGTCAAGGAATAATCTCCCACTTAAGTGGCTCAAACTAGCAGGAAGGGCAAGGGCTGTGGGGCGGAGGGGGGGGGGGGTTCTTGGAGCCGCCTAGGAAGAGTGGCCCTTGGGCCTCAGGTGGCTCTCCCGGCCCTGCAGCCAGCTGCGCCCCAAGTGCCAAGTACTTGGGGGAACCGTTTAAGTGAGATCAAGTGTGACAGCATCAGGGCTCCTGGCCCTCCGGTGCGTCCCCGCACCCTGGTCTCCGTGCCTTGTGCTGCGTTCCACATCCCTCCCGAAGCTGGACCTGGAACCCTGGGGTCAAAGGGGAGTGCCATTTTACCCCGAGCGGTTCTTGAAGCATTTTAGCAGCCGGTTGGAAAAAAAGAAAAAAGAAAAAGAAAGAAAGAAAGAAAGAAAGAAAAGAGAAAAAAAAAAAAAACAGATTGCCTGACAATGTCTCACTTGTTGGTGCAAATGTGCATTTTTTTTTTAAATGTAGTCTTAATGCCAAATCCTATTTAGTCTCCTTTTTTCTTATATTTTTTGTTTGTTTCTTAAACCAGAGAGAGAATTTGACCCAAATAAACACTGTGGAGTATTGGATCCCGAGACAAAGAAACCTTGCACAAGATCCCTCACCTGCAAGGTATTTCTCTTTCCATAAAAAATACTTCCTGCTCTCGCTGGGGCCTTTGTCGAAATGTTTGCATGCCACTCTCTGCACACGGCAGGGTGTGGAACCTCGACATGACCCCCAGCTGTTCTTTGTAAGGGAAATGCTTTCTTCTCTTCCATGGTAGCAGAGTGCCTGCCTCAAGCTGGCTGGCTTTTTAAGAAGGAAAAAAAAAAAAATAGGCTTCCCCTGTTACTTGTGAGGCCAGACAGTAAATTGTATTTATAGGCACTCACAGGCGGTTCTAAACCCTGCTACGTTTTAATGTATGCAGGAGCGGCGGCGGCGGCGGCGGCGGCGGCCTGAAAGGCAGCCCTGGAGGGGAGGGCGAGCGGCCGCGCCCCTGATCCGGCCACGCCGGGTGGCCAGGGGGACAGCTGAGCCCGGGCGGCCGCCATCGGGGGGCCCCCGGCCCCGTATTTCATCCCGAACTGCTAGCGCTTCCTGGGATCGCGGCCGCGGCCCCTCTGCCCGGAGGCTCCGGGCGTCTGGGCCACAGCGAGCCTCCCACCTGCACCTGGATTAACTCTAGCGCAGCCTCACCGCCGCCCTTCCTCCGAGGCTCCCTGGGCGCTGCGCTGAAGCTCGTCATCCTGTGCCCGGTTTTGGTTTTTTTGGTTTTTTTTTTTTTTTTTTTTTGGTCTTTTTGTTTTTTGCTTTTTGCTTTTTTTTTGTTTGTTTGTTTTTTGGAGGAAGCTTTGGCTTCTTGACGCCAGGAGTGTAGGGCATGGTTGCGTTTGTGTGGTGTCTGCCTCTTCCCAGCCACAGAACGGGAGCTGTTGCCTTGAAGTTGACTTTTCGAGCACCTCTAAATTCCCATGAATTGCTGTTTCTGAAATGGAGGGCCCGGGGAAGCAGGTTTATGTGCTGATCAAAGAGGCTGTGCTTTTCATCTCTCTTCTCCTTAGACGCACTCGCTAAGCCATCGGAGGGCAGTCCCAGGCCGGAAAAAGCAATTTGACCTCCTTCTGGCGGAACACAAAGCCAAGTCCCGGGAAAAAGAAGTGAAAGATAAAGAGCATCTCCTGACTTCGGCAAGGGAAGTACTTCCTAACCAACCTGGGCCGGCGCAGGACTCTCTGCCAGGACCTTCAGGGAGCTCTGGGCCAGAACCGAAAGTCGCATCCCCTGCCAAATCCAGGCCACCTAACTCTGTGCTTCCTAGGTAAGTCCCGCTTCGCTGATAGAAGCCTTGAGTCCTGCCCAGGCCAAGTGACTCTGCTTTGCCGGGTCGCGTGTGATCGGATCACATGGCAAATGGAAGTCCTAATAGTCCTACCTTGTAAGACGGCTGTGAAGTGTGAGATCGTGGGCATGAGGGGCTCAGCCAGTGCCCGCCACATAGCGTTCGGTGGATTTTAACTGCTGTCATCATCATCATCATCATCATCACCATCATCATCATCATAGCAGACCTATAGCAGACAGAGCAAGACTAATCTGGAAACTAATACCCGGAAGGATGACCTATCAGCCACTGGGCAACTTTCAGGTTGCCTGAGGTTTTAGATTAGTTGGACAGTCCCAGAGTGGAGAGTTGGGGCAGTCATCCCACTTTACGAGCCCATTTGCCACATGATTTTGTGAATTTTTCCCACAAGTCTCCTACGATCAGGGCGAAAGGAAAATTGGCATCATAGAGGCTGTTTGTCCTTACATATCCCTCCACACCAAGAAAGCTGAGCCATCTGTTTGGGGTTTTATTTGGTTGTCCTGGACAGAGAGGAAAGAACAGAAAACAGAATTAAAACCCGTTTGGATTAAGAGCAGTTTAAAAATCCATGCATGTCTGTTTTCACCGGCCAGTGGAATACCGAGCAGCCGACCAATTTCCAGGTAATAAGACAGGGAGTCCTTCATTCAAAAATATTTATCTAGTGCTTGCTCCATAAGCAAAGTACGGGCATTCCTCCTTTTTATTGTGCTTCACTCTATTGCACTTTGCAGATATTCCTTTTCTTCGTTTTCCTTTTTTTTTTTTACAAATTGAAGGTTTGTGGCGGCCTGGCGTCGAGCAAATCCAGCAGCGCCATTTTTCCAACAGCATTTGCTGATTTCAGGTCTCTGTGTCAATAAAGTATTTCTTAATTAGAGCATGTGCATTAGATATGATACTATTGCACGCTTAATAGAGCACAGTATAAGGTAAATATAACTTTTATATGCACCAGGAAGCCAAAAAGTGCATCTGATTCGCTTTACTGCGATATTGGCTTTATGGCAGCGGGTCTGGAACCAGCCCCGTGGTATGTCCCAGGTATGCCTGTACCAGGTCAGGTGCTTTCAAGCAACAGTACAGAGATGGATGAAATTAGATCCTGCTTTTCAAGAGTTCAAAGTTTAGAAGATAAGACACAAATATCCATAACTTCACGAAGAGGAATCATTAATGATAAAATATGAGAAGGGCAGACAGTGGAATTATCTGATCATTTTTAATGCATACAGCGTGAATCTCAAAAGGGGATTGTCCAGTCAGCAAGTAGGCATTAAGAGAACACAGTTATAAAAGAAGGGGAAGGGGGGATCCCTGGGTGGCGCAGTGGTTTAGCGCCTGCCTTTGGCCCAGGGCGCGATCCTAGAGAACCGGGATCGAATCCCACGTTGGGCTCCCGGTGCATGGAGCCTGCTTCTCCCTCTGCCTGTGTCTCTGCCTCTCTCTCTCTCTGTGACTATCATAAATAAATAAAAATTAAAAAAAAAAAAAGAAGGGGAAGGGGATCCCTGGGTGGCACAGCAGTTTAGCGCCTGCCTTTGGCCCAGGGCGCGATCCTGGAGACCCGGGATCGAATCCCACTTCGGGCTCCCGGTGCATGGAGCCTGCTTCTCCCTCTGCCTATGTCTCTGCCTCTCTCTCTCTCTCTCTCTCTCTCTCTCTCTGTGACTATCATAAATAAATAAAAATTTTTAAAAAAAGGGGAAGGACTTGATTTTTAAAAGCAAAAGCAAAAAAAATAAAAATAAAAATAAAAAAAATAAAATAAAAGCAAAAGCAACTATTTGGTGACAGTTGTTACAGATCTAGCACGTTCTCGTGCCTCCTGCTTTGGCGCAAGCCTGATCCAGTTTGATAGCCGGAGTCCCTTTGTGGGAACCGCCAACCTCGGCGTCAGGTTCAAGCAGACACCGCCATGTGGAATGGCCACCCGCACACATTTCCTGCAGCATACACGCTGCCGTATTGGGCCACCAACTTAGGTGTCACATCATTTTGCAGGATCATTTTATAACTACTTCTCGCTGTAACGCCAGAATTTGGTGAAGGATATTTATTACCTTTCCTCAGCTTTTGAGTTAAGCAGGCCATTCTGTTCCAGATTTCTGGGAGGGGCTTTGGCTCCTCAAAATTTTTTGTGGCTGTAGACCTTTTTTATTCCCACAAAGCCTTACATGGTACCTGATAGAAAAGCAGACTTGCTCCACCTAAAGCCAGTTCATCTCTGCTCCCATCACACATGTATCCAGGGCCTGCCCATCCTGGGGATCCACTTGGCATCCCCAAGGGCTCCGAGGGAACCCGGTTTGAAGGCCCTCTTTTATTGTGGGTTCACCGTAGATTTTAACTGATGGAGGCACTTCTCACCCTACCTGGCTGAAGGGAGGAACCAGGGGGCAGCCGTTAAAAAAATAAAATGGGCATGGAGGCTTAACGGTGGCTTTCTTTTTTTTAAGATTTTTTATTTATTCATTCATGAGAGACAGAGAGAGAGCGAGTGAGGCAGAGACACAGGCAGAGGGAGAAGCAGGCTCCATGCAAGGAGCCCGACGCGGGACCCGATCCCGGGATTCCAGGATCACGCCCTGGGCAGAAAGCAAGGCGCCAAACCACTGAGCCAGGGATCCCCTTAACAGTGGCTTCTTAATAGCCTTTTTAAATTTAGTTTTCAGGGGAATGTGTATCAATAGAGAAATGCCAGGTTTTATGTTCTTTTAAGGAAGTAGAAGGAAGATGGAGAGTGAGGTTCATCAGCAAAAAGGAATTATCTCTGAAAGGAAGGAGGAGGCCGAGGAGTGCATTACAAGCGTCAGCTAACAGAACAATTGTTAAGGATGCTTTTCAGGGTTGATATAGGCACCAGAAAACTCAGATATGAGCTGAGTTTCCAAACTTTGTGGGAAATAATGTTCTTTTCCGCTTGATTTTAGTTAGGATAAGACCCCATACAGTCAGAGATTGAAAAAGCATGATCAGAATTTGATGTCCTCCTTGGGGTGCCTGGCTGGCTGGGTCGGTAGAGCAGGTGACTTGATCTCGGTGCTATGGGTTCAAGCCCCATGTTGGGTGCAGAGATCACTTAAAAATAAAATCTTAAAAAAAGAAAAAAAACAACAGAATTTAATGTCCTCGCATAAAACTTAAAACAACATTTATTTTCTTCATACTAGCAACATACAATATATATAAATAGCTATTTCAATCACAGTAATCATCTATAATTGACCAAAAAAATTTATCACACAAGAACGGAAAATATTGCAGTCCCTTCCCAATCGTGAATTCTTTTTGTAGGAAATGCTAGCGCGTCTGAATTTTTTTTTTTACGTATCATTTGATAACCTTGAAAATATTTCAGTTCTCGTATTCTTGAATTACAACCCACTCTTGTCAAGGGTTCCTGAAAAAAGAACTTAGGTCTAGAGCTGGAAATGTTAAAGTCAAATAGCAAGGGCTGGAAAAAGGTTGGAAGTGCAAACGTCAGCTCCGTGCTCTCCAATGAAATGAGTGCAACCATGCTTCTGAGCCTCTGCAGCGTCCAACTGTTAGTAAGTGGTAGTAGAGCTCCATGGAAAGCAGTGTGAGTAAACCGAGGCCTTGGTGCTACCTGATTTCCATGTGCCCATCCTCCTGGCCACTCTTCACCAACCTGGGGGCTCTTGAATAACACACTCCTGTGCTCTTGTTTCTTTGCCCCAACTCTAGGGGAACTTATTACGTGCCCCCAAAGAGTCCAAGGGCTGTGGATGACCAGCCCAACCAAACCCATCAGGACTTTTGTGGAAAGGGGGAAGAGGCCAAAGGGTTGAGCCAGGCTCTGAGAAGCCAGTCTGGCACTCAAGAAGGAGAGAGGAAAGATAAGGTCATGGAAGCTAATGCTGACAAAATCCGGCCACATTCCCCTCTGTCTCGTGCGATGCTCACACATCTCATCTTAAAGTATGAAAATGGTGGTGCCTGGGTGGCTCAGTTGGTTGGGTGTCTGACTCATGGTTTTGGCTCAGGTTATGATCTCAGGGTCCTGAGATTGAGCCCTGTGTCATGCTCAGCACCCAGCACAGAGTCTACTTGAGATTCTCTGCGTCTCCCTCTCCCTCTGCCACTGCCCCCCCACCCCCTGCTCACACTCTCTCTCTCAAATAAATACATAAAATCTTTTTTTTTTTTAAAGATTTTGTTTATTTGTTTATTCATGAAAGACACAGAGAGATAGGCAGGGGGAGAAAACAACTCCCTGCAGGGAGCCCAATGCGGGACTCAATCCCGGGACTCCAGGATCACACCCTGAGCCAAAGACAGATGCTCAACCACTGAGCCATCCAGGCACCCAAACAAAATCTTTTTTAAAAAAAAAGGAATAAACAGGGAAAAATCCAAGGAATCTTAGACTGGCATAGGTAGAAGTTTCTAGATAATCTGAAAACAGGCAGAGATAATTCTGGAGTGAAAGCAACTCCAGCTCCTGCCTCATTAGGATAAGTGTTATGGCTACACTGTAAGCCTTGACTTAATGTTTGCCCCTGTGTTCTTCCTACATCCATTTCTCAGTATGGGGGCCTTTGAAGTCAAACAGATAGTATCAAGTCTCATTTCCACTCTTATTAGCTTTGCCACCCTTTCCCTTACCTGAGAAATGTAGGTAAGTTACACCCACCTATAGCAGCGAGTAAGTTGTGTGAGAGGATGTCCGATGAATGCCTAGCACATAGTAGGGAGTCAGCTAAGATTGGTTGCCATGTGTTCTCTTCCCCAAAGCACTCAGACAGACAGATGCTCATGCTTCCTCAGAGGGTGGAGGAGGGGACTTTCTCTAAGTTTCCCTGACTGGAACTGGACAGAAACCATTGTCACATAGTCTTTAAACCAGACTGGTAAATGGAGAATGGCAGGTGATGTCGTGATGAGGGCAGAGGAGTGGACGGCAGCTTTACAAACTCGAGTGACTCTTC